GGGGAGGGGGAAGGGGGGAGGGGAGAGGGAGGGAGAAAGAAATTAGGAATTCACCAGCTTGGTTAATTCTAAAACTTCTTCCCGGTTGCTTTCAGCCCTGGTTGCTCTCAGCTCAGAGGTATTTTCCCCGAAGGTGCTAACAGATGAAATTGGGCAGATTGGTGTCGCTGAGACACGACACACTTACCAAAACAAACACACAAAACCCAGGGGGAAGTAGCAGTCATTATTTTTTAATGTATTGTTTTGCTAACAAATTTGCAAGCACACAAGGCACGTTGTAATAAAAACAAAACATGCAAAACTTCTGAGCAAAATAAACCCTGATGATGAAAAAAAATGAAGCAAAAGCAGATAACATGTAAAAAGGCCAGGGGTGAGTGTTCCGTGGGAGCCAGAAGCCTGGAGTTCCTGCCTTGAGTCAGGTTCCAGCACACCCTGGAAACAAGCCTCCGACCACCTGCAGAGCTTCAGATCTTCAAGATAAAAGATTGTATTTTTGTTTCAAAACTGAAACTTCCAGTTTCAACCTTAACCCAAAACATGATTTAGGGATAACACTGGGTGAAAACAGAGCAGCGGGTTACAGTGCCCACCCTCCCGAGGCACCTCCACGGTGGTTTGGGTCCAGCCTGGATTTTTTTTCCTGACTCTGGTCTTACAAGTTGGGAATTTGCAGTATTTCAGCACTAGATCCAAGTTCTTGAATCTCTGAGTCTTTTGGACAAAGGGTCTCTTGACAGAACATTATCTCCATAGTGACAAGAGGCAACCCCAAATCTATCAGGTTTTGGGATACATCATAGATTGGCAGTGTTCATAAGCAGAGTAGGGGTGGGAGGAGCACCCCCAAAGTGCTTGGGGGTACCCAGTACTCTTGAGGCAGCATCAGACACTGACAAACATACAGCAACTGAGCTTCCCTAGAGGGAAAAGATGTGGTTCCAGGGTATCCTGGGAAGGTTCCAAAGAGGTGGGCATCTAAAGCTATGTGTGGTGGTGCATGCCTGTAATCCCAGCCCTTGGGAGGTAGAGGCAAGAGGCTAACCTGTGCTACAAAGTGAGATCTTGTCTCAAAAGATGAAACAGATAGAGGAGGTGGATCAGTCAGTAAAGCATTTGCCTTGCAAGCACAAGGACCTGTTTAGTCCCCAGAATCCAGGCATAAATGCAAGGCAGAGATGAAGGATAGCTGGGGCTCTCCTGCCTAGCCTAATTG